TCTGAACATGTTTCGCTATTGAGTGTATATGTTGTTATTTCTACTAGCCGTTTGAATTCTGAATCTCTGCCTCGCATTCTTGTGGCCGAAGTTTAATATCACGGCGTTGTAGGTTTATGGCGCCCACCAGCGGCCGAGCGGTAAAATCGCTGAACGCTGGTAGTTCGGTACGAAGTTCGAATCCCGCGAAGAGGCTGGCTGCATGGGAGTTTTCGTGGTTTTCCCGATGTGTAACAGGTATACGAACCAGTTTCCCTTAGAAAGTCCTCCACGAAGGCATCCCTTCCCTTAGGCAGATAGCCCTCAAGGCTTTGCCATAATCACCACATTGTAGGTTTAGGAGTTAACCTGCTAAGTTAAATTAATTTTTGTACTCTTGAACTACTAGCTTATGTTTAAATTTAATTTAATTTACCATTATCTTTAGTTTTATCGCTACAAGTGGATAGCGGATTTTAAGCACAAAGACTGTGCCATCTATAAATAATTGAATTATATAAAAGTCTTTTACACCCTTCCCCTGCTATATTTATCTTTTAGCGGTAAGTCTCTAACAGACTTTCGAGCAGGTCTAGTAGCAGTTTATGTTAGTCAAGATTATGTCTTAAGTTTGAATAAGATTATCCAAACTTTAATAGCCTTGAACTATTAACTTGTTAACTTCATTACTTAATATCGATAAAAATGAGTTCAAACTTAGTTAACTAACTTAAAATATAAATACATCGGCAGTAACATGTTGTAAAAGAATTGCTTTCGAATGGGATAAAAATAAGATGGTCCAGAGAACATTGAATTTATAAAAGAGCTCATCTCTTGAAAAAGGATGAGAAACGCTGCTTTTAGAAACTTAAAATCATTATCACTAATGTGTGCAGTAATTCCTATACGCGTCAATGTGTAAGGCTAAAGCTGTATTCTATCAACATTATAAGATCTACTCTGAGTTTGAAATTATGGATTAAGACAAACCAAAACTATCTGTGTAACAGAAGGGACGCCTTCAAGGAGGTCTTCCTAAGATTTACTTCGGGTTAAACTGATTACTGAAAAACTCGGGTTTCTTTCCTAGTACGTATAGAATATGTATAGATAATGTAGTAAGTATTACTAAATAAAAGTTTAAAAAAAAAAGAAGAAGAAGAGGAAAAGAGAAACGAAAAATATTGTCTCTGCTCTACAGAAATTTGCTTCATGTGAGTTCGCTTTTACGTAATGGTTATATGATTACTGCGAAGCACACCGCAGTTATCTGGCTAAGAAGAAGGATGCTTTCGTGGAGAACTTTTGAGGGAAAATGCCTTGCACTCGCTTTACACAAATGGAAAACCACAAAACCATCCAACCAGTCAGCCCGTTTCCCCCACTTTTGTAAAATATTTATATATTAGTACATTTTTGGGTTTACAAAAGATTTACAAAAAACATTTTCTTCAAAAAAAATCGGAATGCGTAAATATGTTTATATTTAATATGCGTAAATATGTTCTAGTGTTTCTAATTAGCGAATTTAGTGTCCTGGTAGAAAAAGAAAGCATTGTCTTTCTTGGGAATTTTTTTTTTTTTTTTACAAATTAAAATGTTTATCGTCTAGTTGCCGTATGACGAATTAGATATCCAAAGTTACTGCAATAAAATAATGGTGTTTATTCATAGACTGGTTGGCAAAAATGGGGAAAGATTTCATTTGCGTTTAATTTGATGTAGCTAAAAATGGTTGGACAATATGTTAGGCACGTGTATGAGTTATCCAATAACAGTCAGTGAATGTATGCAGATTAATGTGTACTATAAACTGCATGCATTTGCTGACTATTCAGTCTTACATCCTTCTAAACCTGCAGTAGTTACATACATTAAAAGGATACTCATTGCTATATAACGAGTCATCTCTACCAAAAACAAAAGCATAGACTTGCTTAATTAAATTACTTACTTATTATTATAAACGTGTTTTCACTTGTGACGCTTTTTGGTGTCTGTTAAGTTGTTAAATGTCCACTACCTTCTCGCTAAACTTAAGTAACAAATCTTCCCAATTAAGAAGTTCTTAGCCCTTTGATCAACAAAAAACTTCTCATTTAGGTTCCATTGTAATGAAAAGGAAGCTTGAACTTCCTCCAAGCAAATCACAACTAAAACTCATAATAAGATTAACATTAAATACTGGCTGAATAAAATGTACAGGGCCATGAGAAATGTAAGAGATAATATGGAAGAAAACCAGCTTAACATTTTTAGGTTCCTCTCTTTATAAAATACCGCCTGAAACTAAACTATATTTTCCAAGACACAAATGACTGAGCAACGTAGGCCGCCGAGAATCGTCGTTCATTCCGTACCTCGACTGTCAGAGAAAAGGAAAAATTACATGAAAGCTTTAGCGTTTTATCCATGTGTAAATGAAATCCGAGCTTATTGACTTTAAGAAAACTTTCAAGAATCCATCATTCAGTAGGCGGATAGATCTCGAATCTATTGCCATAATTAAATATTAACATCTTAAACTTAAGGATACATCAGTGTAGATACTTTAGCAGTCATAAGAGCTGTGTTGTTACAAAATATTTCAAGAAATTCTCAACGTCTCTCACATGCTTGCTTTAAATGATCACTTTACCACAATTAATCTCTTTGTGGCATAACCTTCGAACATATTACACACGGACAAGAAAGAAAGTCAAATTGCAAGCAAGCATAAAAGTAAGATCAATCGTTTTCCTTATCTCTAAAAATGGATTGGAAGTTAGATACCATGCGCAATTCACCCTGACGACTTTGTGACATTTACCTTTTCGCTACGATAAGGTAAAGTTCTTTAATCCAATAAATTGCGACAAGGAACAGCTCAAGTCGTCACGTATCTACTTTTACTGGAAGATTAAAATGCTCCATGGATTACACATAACTCTACACTAAATTGATTTCTTTTCTTTGAGTGAAAATTACCGATGTTTCCATACATAAGTCCAATATTTTTAACTAGTGTTTTGCTACTGAATTTTGAGATCTGCTTATATAAAAGTTTGAAATGATTTACAAATAATTCGATCATATAAATGATATTATACGTTGCATATCTGAAAACATTTTAGTTTAATCTTATAAAATTCTAATATACATTAATTGCATCAATGAAAGATTTTTCGAAAGTATGAGAATATTGCACTTAGCTTCAACTCGGTTGATGGGTGCAGGTTAAAAGACCAATTGTTTGTACGTTGGAGATATGTAGCAGAATTTATACAGCAATTTTAAATATGGCTTATATGCGAGTTTTCAATTCTGCAATTGTAATCATCTTATATTCGGAAATATACAGCATTTTATGTTGTTGTTGTTCTTTATGCTCACTTGTCTGACGTAGTCAGCCAACGAAATTCCTCGTGGCAAGGAGCGAAAAATTACGTCTTTCGCTGGCAACAGGCTTGAGCACCTAACAGGTGACAGTGCGAGTTGGCTCAATTCTGCCCCAATTTTGATGGAAAGCATCCCGGTGGGACGGGTCCGAAGCCTCCCATCCCTCTCTCCTTCCAACAAACCACACGACAGGACTTTCGGCTCGCCGCATATTTAGAGTGCCGCTATGCCGCCCCGACACTATACATTTACAAACATCCATGCCTTCGGCACAGCAATTTATACGGCGATAAAGTGCAAGAATTACTTTCAATCTGCTGCTAGTTGTTAACAAATAAAAATTAAGATCACTGTTTGAACCGTATAATTGAGAAGCAACCGGTAAAAAAAAATATTTTTGCTAGCCGGATGACAAACATTCAATCACCTTACATGAACTTCCAAAATTTTTTACATCTGCTAGTGTCTCTTTACCAGTAAACATGACTCTGAAGTAAATTTTGTTCTTGACATACGGCGCTATAAACCGCTCATTAATATGCCATTTTTTAGATTATATTGAATAGAATATTTGAACTGTGATAGCAAAACGCAGTATCTCTCTAAGGCAAGAGAGCGTCCATCCGCTAAAGGGAAGAAGCTATAAAGGGTCTCATACACCTTGGACCCCTTATGATCTTCGAATATGTGACTGTTGCAAGAATTGGGATTTTTTTTTATTTTTAAAGCAATTACTTCCAACCTTTTACAGCTGACTACATAATTTAGCTGCTTTAGAAACTAGTAACCAGAAGGTGTGTGTTACTACAAATATTTTTGTAATTTAATCCGCTTTGTGACAAAAGTTTTCGTCATGTTTCCACCTTGCGCGCATATTTTAAAAATGGCTAATGGTGCATACTTGAAATTCGATGGAATTCTTTACATGGGCACTATTTTCAACTGAACCAAAAATTTGATGAATATTTTAGTATTAAAAAATTTATGCGAGAAAGCTTAACATTTTTTTAATAAAGACATTTTATAAAACTTAACTCCAAATAAAATAAAAATTTACATGAAATTCTAGAATTTAAGTTCACAGTAGTTTCCAAATGTAAAAGATATATATAAATATGGAATTAAATTATGCAACAGAAAGTTTAACTGTGCGCGCAAGGTGGAAACTTGATGAAATTTTGTCACAAGGCGGTTAAATTATAAAAATATTGTGGCAACACACACTTTCTGATTATATTTTCAGAAGCCGCTATATATGTTAGTCAGCTTTAAAAAGTTGGAAGTAATTGCTTTTAAAATAAATAAGTTATCCCAATTCTTGCAACAGTCACCTATTCGAAGATCTTGGAGGATTTTAAGATGTATGAGTCCCCTTAAGTGAAAAATGGTCCATTTTCACGTTAATAATCCCGAAACCTCTCATGCAGCTTGTAGAAATTTGTACCAGGTCTATAATTTTGGCTCATTACCTGAATTGCCATATTTTGTTGATTCCATGTGTATAATCTTTTTTTCTTTCTTTCCTTTCAAATTCAACATTTAAACAAAGAGAAAAGAAGGCAGTTAAAAGGGTCTGAAGCAGAATTTCGAGACTGCTACACAGTTTCTTTAATAGCATGTACTCTCTGTTCATTTTCTAGACAAATGGTTGAATGATAACTGGAGCATTGTCTTTATATATGGAAAATTCATGCATTCTCGCAATACTTTAAAAGGTATGTTTTAAAGGTTTTTTTTTTTTACCTTTGCTTCAAATAACATTTTACTTCATGGTATTTCTTACAGAAACATGCAGAAATATTCTTACCTTCTTTAGGATTCGAACCCGAGCCCATCGGTACAGCTGTCCGCGTCTTTAACCACTATACCACTAGATGGCAACTTCTAAATCATCAGTTAATATAAATATTAAACTTTAAAAATAGATGGGAATAAAAAGCTAGAATAAAATACGCTTAGAATTATCTTTTGTTTGGCCATTCATATATTACTTAATTTCTGTTTATTTAAAAGAAATTTTAAAATAAGCCTATTTAAAAGAAAGAAGTGTTTTATTCTTTACTGTTATAACACGAGCGCTTACCTTTACCATCTTTCAAAATGATAGAAGACAAATAATTCCTTATCATTGGAGCAATTTATTATACAATAATTATATCAGTTTAGAGGATGAATTCCGAGACGTTAGATGATCCGCGATCTGTGTATGAGTGAAAAATGAGTAATAATTTCGAAACGAATAGTTTTGTGTCACTTTTTAGATGCAAAAAAAATTCAATCTCGACTTAAGTAACAAGTAAAGCAAGATTAGTATTACTACTGTTAACGAGAATAACTAATATATAGCTTTTCCGTACTTAAATTTAATTGTATATAATTTCTGTAATAAGGCGACAGGAATTGCGACAATATTGTTGTCACTAAATGCTTGAAACCATTTCGTAAATTATGTAGTAGTTTTCTAGCTCGTGTAATCGTGAAGCTCAGTTGATTCAGATTTAAAAAGAAAGAAATAAGAACGAACCTTTAGTTTGTTTAATAAATTACTTTTCATACATAATTTATGGCACATATTTTGAAAGAGTATTTGTTATGTTACAAAGATTCTACAATCGTTCAATCTAATGTTCGTAATAGCGTATCACTGCCTTGATTACAAAATGCAAATTTGTATTTCAAATCAAAACCAGACATGAGAAAACGGAAATTCAGCCTAACAATATATAAAATGCGTACATCTTTAACGTTGAAAGCATTCGTTTGCAATCTCTTTAAATGCACTTTTCAGATGCATTTAAAGTAAACTAAGTAATTCTAAAATTAACTCTGAGCTCATATTTTTCGGATAACACTATCTATTTGCATTAGAGTTCGAAGCTTTTAAAAGCAATATATTATAGAGACATCATTTCATTCTTAATGATTCCTGTAGTAGCACACGTATCTGAAATGTATTCGTTTCTTTTTAGATTTGATAAAAACTTCCTATTTGTCGTTTAACGTGTTAGAAATGAAGAGCAGATGTATTTAAAATAAACTCGTTAGGAAGATAATGAATGGATGTGATTTCAGATCCATTAATTCTATGCAATTAAGCTAGCAGATGTGGTTATTGCGAAGTGATAATAACGGTGTCGAACAGGTGTTACGTCTAATAATTGATATTCAAAAGAAAGTATACGTAGGTGTGCATCATTAAGCAGGTCTATGCTAGCAGATTCACGATTTATGATGCAAAGCATGATTATAAAAACCTGGATGAGAACACTTGTTTCTTAAATCCATGTACTGATACTACTCAAAAAGAAATAAGGTCTGCTTTATGTGCTTTGGCATTTTAAAACTAGCTGACATCTGTAAACGGAATAAAACAAGGATTATTTTGCAAGTGTTATTTTTCTCAGTAATGGCAGTATCATAGATGAAAAACCAAAGACAACATTTGCTTTCAAATTAATTGCGGTCCGTAAAGATGTCGTCCGTCATAATTGGAACAGTATTTTTATCGTGAAAAAAAAAACATAATAGCGGAACATTCGAAGTATAAATCATGCAATTTTGTAAAATATTCACAGCTTAATTTATATTGCTACGAAATGCCCAGCCATGGTAATATAGCAAGGAGGGTTTATGGTTGCCAGAAAATGGCAAGGAAAGGCTGGGTTGCCAGATTTTGGGCGAAATCGCCCATATGGCTACAAAATTGGCGATATGCCATAGACGGAGTGAGAACCTTCTAGAACGAATTCTTACCGGTTTGCCCCAGAATGTTCTCGAAGGCAGGTCAAAAAGTTATATAAACTCTACCTGTACACGGAGTAGCAGTTTATCGTGAGCTTATGGTGAGTTTTATTATAAAAAGTATCTTGAGTGTGCTGAGCTCCGACAGCGATCGAACTAGTCGAAATATTTAGTGTTTTGCCGTGTAGCTGTCTTCACCGTTATAGCCTGAAGGCTGCGTTGCTGATTGTTTCAGCGTCTTTATCGTAGTTTTTAGACGATCGTAAATGTTTTTTTTTTTTTGAGCTCTCCTGTAAAATATTGGCGAATAAATTATGTTTTTTTTTTTTTTTTTTTTTTTTTTATTTTATTTTATTTTATCCGGTTTTGCCATCAATCCCTCCAAATTCACGAACCCGTAAAACAATAATATTAATGATTTCGATTTTCTCCTGCATTTCTGCATGATGCTTTCGTCGTGTAATGTTAGCATACTCGGCGCGTATTCGAGAGGTTCAGGTCCGAGTCCCGTCGAGGGCATTGCTCATTTTTCACGTCTCGAGCATCAAAATAACCTAATGTCTCTACAAAGTATTTCGTTACCATCTAGAATGCGTTCTAGTATTTTGAAGGGAGAGGACAAAAATTCTTTAACTTGCATAGAATAACAAAATTAACTCTTGCCAGTTGCTTTAAAATACGAAAAGGTTATTTTTTGGTGCCCGACTTACCATGGGAACGAGCGCTGTATCAGACGATTTGAAACGCCTAACCTTTTTCCCGTTCTGGCTTCATGAAAAGCGCGTGAATGGAATTTGGCTTGAGTCAACAGTTTCAAATGAGGTAGAGAAAATAAGTACTGTGCGGGGATAATGTTGCGCATTACAATGCCATGAATGGATGAATATTTAATTGAAAATCAAAAATAATTAAATCTCTATACATTACCCATGCATAGATCTTCTCCATTATGTGGCTCGTTTTTAAGCTTAGAAAAGAGAGTGACTCTAAAACAAAACTATTTGTCTGCACTAAAAGCCAACGAAGACTAATTCTGGGAATTGACTTATTCCAGTAAAATAAGACTAATATTGCAAAATGATAGTTTGTTGGTTCTTTCTCTTAAAAATCTACCAAAGCTGAGGTGTTATAGTTGAAAATTCAATATTTTAGTTTCGGTTTTAGAACAGGTTTACTTTATAGAACAACTTTTTTATATAAGTTCTCTTGAAAGGCAGCTTTAAAATTATTTGAATATGAAACATAATCTTACATTTGAGAAAATAAAAAAGTTTTTAAATGATAAAAGAAAATACGAGTACGCGGATATAGTACCTGGCATTCGGAAAAGAAATGAATATTCACGAAGCTCCTAAATCTCAAACATCTCCTAAAATTTCTAAATACAGCCACAGAAACTTTTGCTGAAAAACTTTTACTATTCTAATAAATTCAAGAGGGTTCCATTTGACCATCAGATGCCTGTTGCTGTATTTCGAAGATTTTGCAATTATATCCCTTTTATCCGAGCTAATTGGAGTGAAGCGATTTTTGATAATGCACGGGAACTAATTTTAGTTAAAAGTAATCTGTAATGTTAAGTATACTTTGTAATGTTAGGCAATTCACCTGTATTACATTACAGGTGAATATATACACACTTTTGCAAAAAAATCGAAGCAGCATGAAGGAAGTGGTTGTTTTTGATGAAACTGAATATGTGTTTAGCTCATACGTTATACACAGATAATAAAATGATTCAAAAATCAAGGTCATAGTACCTGTTCACGGCTCACAATCACCCATTGAGTGTTCAAATTAGTAGTTGGTCGAACCGCCCCTGGCGTCAGTGCATGTTGAATTCGACGAGGCAAGGAATGGTAGAGGTTCCTAATGTCATCCTGCGACACATTCTGCTAGGTATTCATCAGTTGTCGCTCCAGATCTGCGATATTTTGTGGTGTCCGAATCTTATGGCCTACCATGTCCCAGACATGCTTGATTAGTGCAAGGTTTGGTGACCTTGCTGGCCAAGGAAGAGTATCAACCGAACGGAGACAGTCCAGCGATATGCGAGCCGTATGTGCCTGGCGTTATCTTGTTGGAAAATGGCCCTAGGATGACGTGCCGTGAAGGGTAATGCAACCGGCCGCAGGATAATATAAACGTAGCATTGAGCTGTTTGTTAAAGATGGACGGAGGATAACTAAAGATCACCTGCTGTCATAAGAAATAGCGCCCCACACCATCACAAAAGGGGTTATGGCTGTATGCCTTTGTAAAACAAAGGCTGATTGTGACCACTGGTCCCTCCTCTCCAGACACGAACACAGTGGTCATCTGCTTCAAGAGTGAAGCGGGATTCATCGCTGAATACTATACGATGCCAGTTTGATGGCAGCCATGATGATCGGCTGCGACAGCACTCCAGACGACTCCGCCGATGTTGTGGGGTCAAAGGCAAACGTCTTAAAGGCCTTTGTGAGAGTAACCCCGCCTCAGACAAGCGTCGTGAGATGGTGAACGTTACCACGGGAGGTATAGACGTGGCTTTAGTGCGTTGAATAGTCGACAATTATTAATCTATACTGAACAAAGAAGATTTATGACAAACTTGGATTAATCGAAAAGTGCGACTTAGAGTTGAGATTACAAGGCTGAATAAAACATTTTGACACCTACAGAAGAATTAGTTTATTTTTTGAAATGACAAGTCATGGTAATACAGTAATATGAATGTGTTAATGTTATCTTGAAGTCGGCAGTCTATTTAAAAATAATTGAGCTTTTCTATTAATGTCTCAAAACTCAACTTGAAGATGACACATTGATTGTAACACAAATACCTTTCCCTATATTCGGCTAATATATAGTTAACAAATGAAACACTTATTTTAAACTAAAAAGATGCTATTACAGAATCATCCAATCAGAACATAAAAGAAAAATTTAAGGAGCTTTGAAAGTAATTGTCTACCTACTTAATACAAAAATAGGCTATGTAAAATATTCCTGCTATCTTTGGGATTACCCTTTTCCTACGAGTACTTGGATATCTTTAAGGTGTTAAAATAAATCTAGATTTTCTAGTGTTTAACCTTTTGAAGACGGGATGGCCATTATAGTGGCCATAGAGTCCTCTCTTTGAAAAGCGAGTAGTCATTTTAGGCACTGTCTTTTTCCCCATTTCCCGGCTCCAAGTGGGTGAAACGTCAATTGGACGTCCTAGGTTTTAACCCGTATCTCTTTGCAAAGGTCTTCCTTTTGCGACATAGATGCCCCCCTCGAGAATCCATTAACGACCAAGAATCTTTGTTGCAATAGAGGTGATTTCTAAAAGGGGGAAATCTTCGGTTCAGATAGCCGTCCTTTGGTAGCTTTTACTGCTACCAAAGCCCCGGCCTCAAAAGGTTAATGTTGCCAACTATTAGAGAGATCATATAATTTTTACAGTGTTAGTAATTGTTGGCAAATGTATTCGCCTCCCAAAGGATTCATTTGCTTTACGAAAGGAAGAAAAACTCGCGGCACTATGAAGCTTCTAAAAGCGGTAATGGTAATGGCTTCTGCTGTCTCGCCAGTTTACAGTAAATAGACAAAAATACATGGTCATTATACTGGAAGTGTCATCCTGTTATTGTTGGGATTAATCTCACTTTTCGGACTTAATCAGAAATACCTCACGAATTTCTTCGTGGCAAGGAATACAAGATTGTGTTTGTTGGCAAGAGCCTTGGGCACCGTATAGATGACAGTGTGAGTTTACACAGTTCCACTCCAAATTTGAAGGAGAGACCTCGGGGGCGTGGCAGTCGGTGGGTCTTCCAACACTCTTCTACCACCGAATCACAAGAGAGGATTTTCGGCTTGCCAAATATTTAGAGTGCGTCAATGTCGTAAAGACACACCTTTTTCTATTTTAAGTTAGATTAAAATATTAAACTGGAATAAAATATTCTTCAAGGCAACGAATAAAGAAAAACATGGTTTTTAACGTACTTGAAATTTTCATACATTACAGAAAACTAAAATAAAAAAAAATAAATAAAAAAAAAAAAAAAGATATATTTATAGTGTTTTAAACCTACTTTCGTAAGCTGATATGAAATGTAAAATGTCAAAGAAGCTTCTTGGAAAACAGCCTTAAAAATTTCAAGATTTACTCTTAAATTAAAAAAAAAAAAGAAATTAAGAATGATCAATATTAATGAAAATTAACATTTTTAATCTTTCATTCAAAGTTAAACCCCCGAAAATAGAATCATGTAAGTCAAGTGGTGAGCATAGGATGAGCTTCTGCGAAACATTGCTACAATCAAAGCTCACTCTCTAAGGATGATGAGTTTCAAATGTAATGGCTTAGAAAGCTAAAAATGTTATCTACAAAAAATCTTCAGATATTTACGTATGAATAAATATTTTATTCGGAAAAATAAAATATACGAAAACCTGTAGATTGTAAATTTTGGATTTATTCAGAATCTTGGGTGATATAATTGCTTTAGAGTCATAATCGTATTTCATGTTTTATGAAGTATAATAATTATCATTTATTCTATGAGAAATATATGTTTTGTAAACTATTCCTTTGTAAAGATGATCCATTTAATTAACATTCTCTTTCTTATGTATTACAGATTATTTCTAGCTTCTGAAAGGATATGTCAGATACAGATTCACAAAGTGTATTTAAATTCCCGACAAAGTAAAAGAAATTCCCTACGTCGGAGAGCTTGAATTCATACGGGAAAGTTTGCTGAACTAATAGCGTGAGTGACTGCTGAGAATCGGAGAGCAAAATCATTTTCTCACATTTATTGTTTAAAGCCAATGATTGTTTCAATGTACTTCACCTCTCTATCGACAGCCATTCAGAAACACAGAAGCAGAAAGGGGCGAAAGCACTCTTGACCTTCTGCAGACACAGAATGGGCTCATTTTGTATACATATGATCAGTTGCATTCCAGATATTCAACGCCAGTAGTCTCCAAAGTACGCACTACTTTTATGAAGTGGCTCACGGTAATATTTAATTAAAGGTCGCTCCCAGATAATAAAGCTTGTCAGTAATTGCAAGCGCAGTATTTCTATAATTCACAGTAAGGCAAAATCCTGGATGGATAGACGAAAATTATTATTATTTCTATTATATAACATAGATTATTTCTATTACAAATTATTTTACATCAAAGAGAATTAAATGTTTGCTTTCATCATCATATTCTGTTACTATTGTAAATGATGATCAGAAATAACCCAAATTTATTACGATCTAGCACAGAATTATGAGCATTTATTAACAGCTGCCATACAAACATAATCGGTATATGATTGTCTATTTTTAAGACAAATACAATCGTCTAAGGTAACATTTTTCTGGAGTATGACTTCTGCTTTCTATTGTTTTTATAAATTTGTATGATATATGATTATGATAAATACAAATAAAAAAAATTAAACAAAGAATACGCTACAAAAATAAGTTTTTCATTAAAAAATAGACAAATTTTAATAAATAATATAGACTGTTGTTCATTTTAAACGAATCTTGAAATTATCGTGATTATGTTTATTGTATTTGAATATGGAATAAAAATGCCCTGTCTCAGAAATGTACATGTATCGAACAAGAAAATTATTTCATTCCATGATATAAATTTTTATTCGTATGATGCAAATTTCTTTAAAAATATTCTCAGTTTCAAATTATGCTTCAAATCTTGCAATATTAATTAAAAACTGAATTGTAAATATGAATTAAAATGTAAAACAAATTGCAAATTGTGTATTACTGGGATTAAAATGAGGCTGATAATTTTTTTCGTCTTTGTTACATGTCTTATTTCACGATAATTTATATTGTCTTTTCTTTTCCTTTTAAATATATCAAGCAATAAATGCTAGTTAACTCGAAGGCCGATTTAACTGACAAAAATATTTTACAGTGTAAAATGATGCGCTTTTAAAAACCGATGCAGATGTTCAGCAGCCTAGAATAACAATTACAATAACACTTTGATTTAAGCAAAAAAATAAGCGCTTTTTTGTGCATATTGTAGGAACTTTCTGAGAGCAAATTTGTGTTTTATCTATATGTTTGGTAAGTCCATAAGTGGAAAAAAGAATACATGTTAAACGGATAAATGACGCTGCAGTATAAAACGTATATTTCTTTTAATTTTTATTGTTATTTGCTTATTCCTTTATAAGCCACATGCTGTGCTTTCCTTTTTTATCAGCGTTGGTAGTTGACACTTTATTAGACACATCTGCTTCTTGCTTTTCTCCGAGTTTTTTTTTTTTTTTTCCCTTGGTTTTGTTCTACATATACATTTTTCTTTCGATTCTAAAACGCCATCGATTGTAAGAAGCATACCTAAGTTTCAATATTATTAAGAAATAAAATATCTTAATTCTCAGCAATTAAAATAAGGGAAACGCAAAAATACCTGTGGCAAATGTTAATTTAATAATCAACTTTGGTTTATTAATCACAATAATATAAATGTGTCGATTGTTGTGCCTGATCAATTCTACAAGACACTTTCATGTCTAAAACTCTCCCAGGGATGCTTATATGAGGCAAAATGATGAGTTTAAGAATAGAAAATTTTACTGCTGATTTAAATTTTAGAGATAATTCCAATCAGCATTCATTATTATACGTTCAAAATTTCAGATTGCAGGAGGAAATTTTCCTGTTTGCTGATGATTTTTAATTTGTCACTCTGAAAGTGTTTTTGTTATGTAAACTATAGGCTTATACACATTACTGAACTATTAAGAAAATTTAGAATTAAATTAACTGAGAAACACTGACAAAAAATTAAATACAATCAAAGCTAATTTTTACATAGCAAATGATTTAAGCTAGTAGGTATTTTAAAAATTATTACGTTTTCATTTTAATGTAATGTTAATTACACTGCTTAGTTTAATGCAGCAATAAACTTTATTGCAGTCTTTCAAATGAGAATTTAAGTACTGAACTTAATGCAGTTTAGACTGCTTGTCACTATAAGAAAAATTTAAAATATTAATTAATTGAATAGCTGAGAGCATGTATGGAAAAATAACGAGCAATATATATTTAACATCTTTATTTTGTTCAATTTTTTTATTATATAAAAGAATGAAAAATGCATTTTTGTGATGAGTAAAAACGTTACTTGAAACATTTATGTACCTTTATTTTTTTTTATCTTATACATTTTAATCAAACTCTGAGTCAAAACTTCAGTAAGGCCTTATGAAAGCGCCATATCTGTTATCTGTTCTTTTAATTCTGCAATATGTTTTTAAAAATTAGTAGCAGAGAACAAAAATTAAAAATATGTGAACGAAAAATACAATTAAAAAAATCGAAAAGCTTTCAGATTTTATATTACGCACAAAGGGTCGTTTTATTAGCGTTTTGTGTGCTACCTTTATTTATATGTTCTTCGCACTTAAACCATAAACGTCAATTACCAACAGCAATATCGCAAAATAATCTAAAAACAGCATATCTTTAGAATTTCTGATACACAGTCTCGCGCGCTAGATCTAAAAATATGAGATAGAAAAACAAATTCCAAATTTGGGCTTCCAGAAGCCCATATTAAATGGAGGACTACGTTATTCAAAATGTTATGTTCTCTAGGTACCACTGTTTTTTCAAACTTCGAGAAACATACATACATTCATGCAGATTGTTCATTATTTAATTACTTTAAATATAATGCTGGGCTCTAATACTTGGTGGCAGCAATTTGAAAAGTAAACCTACAGTTATAGTGAGCCGACGTTAAATGCCAAAGCGAAATTAATAGCATTCCTGGGCGAATTGTCCCTTTGGGCTAATAAAACAAATAAGATCCTTTGAAATTTCTGTCAAATCTGCTTTTCACACTTGCTGAACTTCATGTTTATTATTATTATTATTATTTAATTATGTTCTATTTCAAATGGCACTTTGCTAAATTCTTTTTAAATGTAGATTGCAATAAAACAGAATGTAACATAATATATAGCAGACATGTAGCCAATCGAAAATAAAAACTAAAACAAGAATCTTGCGGACGAAAATATTTCAAAATATTATTGAAGCACATTCTCGCATGTCTATCAATGGATTAAGATACTGCGTGCAGTGTGCTGCAACGCATGGTTCAGCGATCGTATTTGGAAAAGCTTGCTAGCTAAATGTCAATCAGCACTTCTACTTACAAAATATATAACCATCATGCGTAGTTCTACCACTTAACAAAAATATACCTCACGCATCTCTTAACCATCTTAAACACCTGCATTAATATCCCCCAGTACGCCTATTTTCAAGTTAGAATAATCATACAGAAGCTAATCTGTCATCACATTCACACAATCGTTGAATGAAGAAACTCTTTTTGTTGTGCGCTGTACTCATCTTAACAGATCAATAAACCCTGTCACTCTGCGCCCCTTCTAATGGACAGATGAAGCAGAACAAAAACTTTGAAGTCTTTCTGAGCTGCCTGAAGTTGATGAGATGCTGTTACACTGAAGCGCTTGTTTCAACAACAGTTTTCCAGTAATATATAGCAATTGGAGACACCCCGTTCTTGAACATAGGTATCTGAGACCTTCAAGGTCATAAGGATCACAGACACAAAAGAATCTTAAATCAGGCACAACAATCGACACATTTATCGATCAGTCAAAGGATAAAGACGATATATATATATTTTTTATTAACTGTTGCCTTGTATTCTTTTACTCAATTGTTCTGTTTGTAGTTCTTGGGTATTTGAGACCTAGAAACTTATGATTGAGTACTCAGTCTAACAAATGATATTTGCTATACACGATAAGCAAATAAATGTCTTACGTTGTAGTTTCAAACGAACTTTTCTCACGCATTCAAGCAATTTATTTAAAAGGAATCTATGGCATGGAGAGAAAGCCGTAATTAATCAACAGTGAAATTGGAAATGCTTAACTAACATTATTTCATCAAATAGTTTAATCTAGCTCAAGTTTCTTTTTTCGTTTATTATTTTTTCTCTTTCTTATATTTTCTATTTAGAATACGCTACAGTACAAAAACAGTCAGTTGAAATGAAATAAATGGTAATAATGAAAGTGATCGGAAGGTGTAGTGATATTTTTATTACCGCTTTGAAGCAATGCGTGCTTCGGATTTAGATATGGTTTTCTATAACATAATGCTTACCTTTATAACTGCTAACTCTTCTGGACTCTCTAATAAGCTGAATAAAAAATATCGTAGAGTTACAAAAATTACCTAACGTTGCTCGTGTAAAAAGTACAGCAAAAAATTTCGTTAAATTATAGAGAAGAAATTTTTAGTTTAAACCAAAGTTCCTAAAGTCGAAAACTTTGTATTAGTTTTAAGAATTTAAATAAAAATTTGGAAGCGTTTAGATAAAACTTTAGTTTTCTTAGGATGGACTTTTTTTATAACATGGGTTTTCCACAGCAGCGTTTAAATTCTGTTATCGGTATATCACAACTGGAATGAAACAGCTAGAAGTCTATTTTCAGATGCTTATTTCTGATCAATCATAAAAAATAATTGTAAATGTTATAAGGTATTTCTCCCGCCTTCTTAGCGTGCCTTCGTGGTGTAGTGGTCTGCAACTGAGGGAGTATTCCAGAGGTCCGTGGTTTGATTCCCGGTGAGGGCGTTGCTCATTTTCCAAGTCTCCTGCTTCCAAAACACCTAATGTTTCTACAGTGGCGCCCGAAACAGTGGCAATTGAATCCCCTAAAAACGCCGGTCACCGTTTAAAAGGGAAAGTATATAACGTATTTTTCTGACTTCTTAGCGTGCCTTCGTGTTGTAGTGGTCTGCACGCTGGGAATCGAACCATGGACCATTCCAGAGGTCCATGGTTTGATTCCCAGCGAGGGCGTTGCTTATTTTTCAAGTCTCCTGCTTCCAAACTACGTAATATCTCTAAATAATACGTAATATCTATCAAACTACGTAATATATACTACGTTATCTAAAAAAACTTAACAGAGAAAAGAGTAATCAAAATGAAAAAAGTACTGTTTCGTCTTCTTACGAATTAAACGAATAAAATATTAAATTTTAAGTTCAGCTGCGAACGTTTGTCGGTTTCCTTCCGTTTGGGAGGTAATGGTTTAGCTACGAGCGGTAAAAGCCAAACTATCCGAGGGAGTGGCTTGTCATCTGTTGGCGGCATTCACAATATTTGAAGCATCATACATATTGCAAAATGAACATGGCTAAGAATTTTTAATGATATTAAGTTAGTGGAATGTGGAATAAATTCAAATTCCTTAAGGAAAGCCTAGATATAGCCAGTGACAAGGCTCAGTTGAATAGAGCAAGCCAAGGCTTTGAAAAGATGCTCTGTACTTGGTTTGAAACAAGCATAGAAAAAAGTGGTCAGAAGGAATAAAATTTATTTAGTTTATAAAAAATACAGCACATCACTCAGGAACCGCTGTATATGTGCAGCTATGTTTGGCTGCAAAGCTAAAGTAGGTTTAAAAAACTACTTGCCATTTGATACTTTATCAGGAATACAGATACAGGAGTTAATACCTTGTTGTGTTAACCTGTCTGCACACGCACTGAGTACTTTTGACCCGATGTTTCCTATTGTTCCCAGATATTTCAGGAATTTCTCAAAACCTGCTCCTGTCACTTCCGATACCTTAATGGGTAGTCTAGTAAGAGGAATTCCTAGGAAGAGAAATTTTAAAAACATTAAGAGTTTCTGTTCGGGTCAGTTTTACTCACTTGGCTTGCTAACGTTCCGCAGTCATTTTACATTATGAATCTGAT